TGCTGTACTATATTCTCTAGCTCTTAATCAAAACTGAGAAATGACGCTAATTTATACAGTTTACTTCAGGTTTTTTAATTCAGAAACTTGTAAAAACAAAATATTATTTTGGTTGTTCACATGAATACATATATATAAGTAATTATGTCTCCACAGAGAGACATACTGATTTTCTATGATTTCTTAATTCTTCTCCTGGCCTGGCATGGCCAGGTGGTTAGGGTACTCGACTCGTAATCTGCAGATCGCGGGTTCGAATTCCCGTCCCACCAAGCATTCTCATTTTTTCAGCCGTGGGGTCGTTATAATGTGTCTGTCAATCCCACTATTCGGTGATAAAAGAGAATCCCAAAAGTTGGTGGTAATGACTAGTTTTTTACTGCTAGATTAGGGACGGGTAGTCCTCGTGTAGCTTTGTACGAAATTCTAAATAAACAGAGAAGTAATCTTCCTTTTTATTCCAAACTCTTTTCAATCAACTGCCATTCCTTCATTTCTCAACAGATTGACTTGAATCTTGGTAGAGTTATATATCGATCTAATACACCCAGAATTAGACCTTTTTAAAGGGATTTTATATAGTCATATTTACAGCAAATATAAATTATCCTGCGTTCACTACACTGACATTAAAAAGGTGGATTTTTGCATTTTTAGTCTTTTTTTATGGAGGTCAGAGCTTACAAAAAAGCGCAATTTGGGGTTTTTGGTTAATTACTCGGTCATATTTTGACAAATGTACATCAGATTTGGTATAAATATACTTTTCAATAGGTCCTATACATTGACAAACAAAAATGGTGAATTTGCCCGTTTTTAGTAATAATAGGTGAAGGGGTCATCATGGCACAATAATTTTAGGGTTTTTGACAATTACTCCGCCGTATATGGGCCAATTTACCAGGGATTTGGCTCAAAGATACTTTTTTAGAGGTCCCAAACAGAGATATAAGCAATTTTTAAAAATTTATCTTTTGTTTAATTTTTCAACCAGGAAAGCGCCTTTCTTTTGTTTGTAGTTAAGCACAACGGCTATCTGTGCTCTACCCACCACAGGTATCGAAACACGGTTTTTAGCGTTGTAAGTCCACAGCCAAGAAAGCACTCTTGAGGTTTTAGTGAACTATTCATGTCTATGTCAACCAACTTACACGAGTTTTGGTACAAAGATACCTACTTTGAGGTCATAAGCAGTGAGGTAGTAAGAAAATTTTTGATTTTTCTTTTGTCAAAATTGGCCATGTTGGAATTGCGTAGTGGATACATGTTGCATTCGCCTGCGAATGATGACCTTTTTAATTAATAATTACTTTTGTTACCAAAATACAAAATATATGTATAGCTTCAGTTCCTTATTTGAAAATTTTTAAGTTATTTAAGATTATTTTCTATGTTCATAAATGCACTTTTCATTAATAGTTCAATTTGTTTTACATTTTTATTTTATATATTTCAATCTGTTTCATTTATAAAGGAATACAGCGTGTATTTTCTTATATAAGCATTTTTATAGGGTAACGTCGCAACCAGATAAAGGCTGAGAGCGAGAATAATAACGTTAAAACCACGTTGTTTCATGATATAGGTGTAAGTGGGTGATTTAGGTAAGGGTAGGAAAATTTCATTTTAAATAAGTTCTTATTAAGTTAAGGCAGATTAATATAAATTTTAATTGAGATATGTATTTGAGTAAGGAAGCACATTATGCTAATATAATAATAGGTAGGCAAAGAACGATTTATAAGCATAAACTGATTAAAAAAAGTTTTATTCATGTAATAGTTGGAACAATCGTTGATCATCATTCGACAGAACATTGATCAATACTAAGTAATACAAAGTTTATTTATATTTAGAAAGACAAAAGATAAGGATTAAGTGTGACGGAAATGGTGTCAGCAGGTGACAGAATATAGGTAAAGGCAGGGGTGAAATTCTAAAAAAAAGTAGCGGTACTCAGCAAGGTGAAGTGGACCTGTTTTTGAGAAACAAAAGAAAGTGCGTGTAAACATAAAAAAATAGAAGGCGGCTCAAATAAGTCCCAGTACTAGTACCGCCTTAAAAAATAAGTTCAGGTTGTCGGCGATATTAGGTAATGGTGAGTACCAGCAGAATTTCTCTCCTGGGTAAAGGTTAAGTCTGGTCAAGTGTATGAACGGTGAATTGGCTTTGTCAAATACTATTGATGTTGCTAGGGTCATTATCACAGTTTAGTGAGAGATAATTTGACTTAATGATTTTGATTCTGTAGTTTCTAAACGGTCTTTCTCTTTTAGTTTTGTTGGTGTAGGAGAAGCATTTCATCCCAAAGTATTTCGTGACCTGTTACATATTGATTATATGTTAAAGGACAATTCCAGATATCTGCTTTAACATAACATCAGTGTGAAACTGATCACAAAATACTTTGGGATGAAATTCTTCTCTTACACCAACTCAAAACTAAAAAAAGAAAGAGACTGTTTAGAAACTATAGAAATATTCAAAGCAAACAATCTGTCACTAAATAGTGATAATGGCCCTAGCAACATCAGTCTTATTTGGCAAGGTCTATTCACTATTGATACACTTGATCAGACTTGATACCTATATCCTGTCATCTGCTGACACCATTTCCCTCACGTCTAATCTTTGTAAATTGTAATGGTGTGTATATATATATATATATATATATATATCTGCTGTACCGTACTACTCCGTCCGTTCGGCCGTACAGACAGTCGTCCCGTTTTAGTAATAAGTAGGTAGGAACGGGTCACTCAGTGGCACAATAATT